GGGGGGTACACTGCTTTGTTTGGGAAGTTAATCCCACTCATAGCAATTAATCGTTCTCCATTTTGCAGTGGGTAAGATAGCAAATGTGCCTTCTTTTCCCGACTGGTCTAGCATTTCAAGCTACAATATGATCTTAAGGATGAGGTATAAAAAAACCTCCTTTTATAATGCAATGTCCCTAATAAGTCTAAAATGAATTTCAGCTGATTGTGTTTTAGCAGAGGCATTAGCTATATTTAGAGGGCATGTATTGAAGCTTGTCTTACAAGTGTTAGCGGATTGCGAATCACAAAGTGTGGGGGAAAATCCATGAAAGCAGCAAAGAGTTGCTGCATCAGCAGGATATGTGTGAACTGAAATAAAATTCTTGCTAACGTTGCTCTGTGACAAGAGCTTTTCAAATCCCCAACCAAGCATTTGATTAAACTACAGAAGATCCCAAAGAAGGAAAAATGGGGGGAATGAAAAACACTGTTGGCAGCAATGTCAATTTGAGAAGGGCTTTTTCATGACAGCAGCTTCATCAGCTTTTCATATTGTTGGTTTTAGAACAATATGCACTGAAGATATGAATGCACAGTATTATTGGCAGCCATGACTATCTGACGGCACAGATGCTGCCGTTGCTTTACTTCACAAGGGGGAAGGCCTTTTTGATGACACCATTGTTTCAGCAGCATTTCACATGACTGATTTAATAATAAAATAATATTCACTGGACAATTTCCCCACATAAATGTTAGCTGGCAGGAAACAAAGTCCTCTAGAACATTATTAAGTGTGCTATCAAAATGCTGCAGTGAAATAAGGTCCAATAAAACCTTATATATAGTATGTTACAATAACTACAAAATAAGGAAAACACAAGTAAATGTCAAGTTAAATGTCCATCAGACAGTGGGAATTGTTATTATATGCAACACAAAAACATTGAGTTTAAAAATAAAACGTTTTTACTTTCCCCATTTGGAAAAAAGCTGTATGTCCATTGAAACTGTTTGGATTATATATGTTTTGCTTTGCTTTGCTTGTTGCTTCCTTTGTCTGGAGTTTGAAAAATGGAACAAAGGTTTTCCACAGACAAAAACATTGTATTGAGAACATATTGGTCTTTTTGAAAAGCATATAAGAATAGGTACTAAGTATGGTACATTTGTTATATGCCAATGACAACACTATTGCCATGTACAGATTCAAGGGTTATTCACTTGAAGAATGCGGCATATGAAGATGTAGCCTTCAAAGGAATGAAAGCAAGTGGGCTAAGGCTGTTGCTCTTTTGTAAATGAGGCACTCTACCTTTACATATAATGAAGTTGTGTTCTGAACAAGCAGAAACAATAAAAGGTTTAAAAAGTTGACTATTTACCACCTAAACTTCAACTGCTAAAAAGGATTTTGTCCTATTCCCACACATCCCTTATTGAGGGGTCTAGTTGTTTTAGGGCCCCGCTTTTGGCTCCATTTTAAGGAGACACTGAAATATGATATTCTGCTTGAATATTTTCAATGACGAAATGATTAATCACTTCAAATAGTGTGTCCCCAGACAGCGGTGGAACAACGGTGGGGGCAACAGTGGTAATTAAAGTTTAAAAGTCTAAAAAATGCTACAACTACTGTCACAAACTGGATGAATGTGAAGTATTTTGTTAAAGGAGGATGAAAGCGTAATTAAGGAGCACTATTGGAGTGACTTTGATGGTTATTGGACTCCGGATTAATTAATCTGGATACCCGCTGTATGAAGAAATTAAAGGACGGCGCAAGTGGAAACAATTCACAAAGAGATTAAACTGTTTAAAACGCATGCTCAAAGTAAGGCGGATTTTGCAAATGTGTTTCAAAAGTCGTAAATAATCTACAAAATGGAGGAGACCGATCTGATCAGAGCAACTGTGACAAATAACCTATAACTGAAACCGGCATGGACAATGACTATGTTTTTAAAAATGCGCTTATCCAGAAAAGCCTGGTTTGGACAATTTACGGGCAGAAGAAACATTTCTATTAAAGAAAGA